TGAAGTCCAGAAAATACAGATGTAGAACAATAATCCAATCTGCAAATAAAAGACAACGATTTCTTTTAGATATGTAAATGTGGTTCAATGCTGGAAAAAAAAAGACAGATAAGAATATTGGCAATTTTGCTATTACCTGGTCTCTAAGTTGAGCTTCGGTTGTATAGTTGGATTTCCACCAAAGCAGGCCTAGCAAGACTGCAATTGCGAGTGCTTGGACTAGCCTTATTGTATCAAAGTAATCTCTACATCTTTCTCTATACGTTCTCTTCAATAATATCATGAATTGATCCATCCAAGTCAGTGTCCAATCCTTCTTGATCTGAATGGCTACTCGGAGCTGCTCTGATACCTTCGACATGTTATGGTTCTCATTCTTTTCTTTTGGCTCCAGTTGGACTTTGAATTTGTGGCGCAGAAACTACACAGTGTGCACAAGTTAATGTGGGAAATCATTACCCATACAGAACTCGTCTTAAAATACCATAAAGCCGAACCAGGAAATGTTTAATAAGCAAAAACAGAAGCTTACTCTGATAACAATCCTCTCATATTCGGCAGTTCCTTGAGGTGCAGGTAAATCTTCAGGAACACTGATATCATCCAATTGACCAGCTGCCAACTCTAGCAAAAATTCTGCAGGATTCATAGCCATTTCTGGGATGAATCTCAAAGATGAAAAATACTCTACTGCTTCTCTTGCCTTTCCACAATAGAGAGGATAGCCTTGTGCTATTAACAAAACCTTGTCAAACATGTGGAATATCCTGCTTGAGGGCTGGTGGATGGTTGTAACGATTGTCCTGCCAGCCTGTGGGCCAAACCAATGAATGACAGACTTTAAAAATCTCCATTTACGCACAGATTGAAAAGTCTGATTTTTATCCCTAGTAACTCAATGAAAAACAGTTACAAATAAAACACAAATTCAAAAGGAAATGATAAGGAAATATGATCTCTTGTTGCTCCAAGATATTTTGAGGACCAAAATCTGCAACATTCCATGGTTCCACAGTTGCTCGCCAGAAAAAGAATTTGAGACAGTTGCTCACTATCAACATTTAATGGTTGTTGCTCGCTAGAAAAAGAATTTAAGACAAGTGCTATAATGAATTGAACATATAGGCATAACAGGAGTACATAGATTAGTTCTATACCTTGGCCAGTCGTTGAAGGATCTGAAGAATTCTGTTTGCAGAGGTGGAATCAAGACCTGAAGTTGGTTCATCAAGTAATAGAAGTGAGGGATCTACGAGTATCTCATATCCTATACTGGTCCGCTTTCTTTCTCCCCCCGATATGCCTCTGACAAATCCTCCTCCTATTCGTGTGTGACGGCACCTGTATCATTTTTATTAAATAATCGTACTAGTATACAAGTAAAGATCAGTGGTTCAGGAAAGTAATAGTCATTATAAAAAAATGACAATGCTGGAGAAAGGTGGATCCAATATCAGAAGAAACCTTTCAAGACCTAATTCCTTCACAATCATATCCACTCTTTCATACTTCTGATTTCGGCTCATGCTGCTTGGAAGTCTTAAAAAAGCAGAAAAAACTAAGGTTTCTTCCACCGTCAATTGAGGAAAAAGTACATCATCTTGTGTAACAAAACCGACCCTGTCATTTCATTACAAACATCAAAGACAGAATACGGTAGTAAACAGAAACTAAGGCAACCAAAGCAACATGCTAAGCAGTGCAGCTAGCCTACCTCTTCTTAAGAGCCGGACTGTACGGAACGTCATTGTACGTGATGGTTCCTTTTACACGTTCCCGTAATCTTCCTCCTATTACCTTTAGCAAAGTTGTCTTTCCGCTCCCAGAAGGCCCCATCAAGGCTAGTATCTCACCAGGAGCAACGCTTCCCGATATACCATTCAAGATGTGCTTGTAATTATCTTGATCAAAGCTCAGTTGTGACGCTACCTTTGACGCTACTGTTGTAACAATGTTAATGTTGGAAGAAGCCCGGCTAAATTTTACCTTATACTCAACATCTGCAAACTGCATGACCAAAGTGGATAAATTTTAACTTTTCTTCAAAAACAGGATTCACTTATATCTATGAAATTCTAGTAAGAACACCCAGATGCATTCTTAGGATGACATGACTTAATTTGATAAAGTTATCCCGCATCTTAGATTTAGAGTGAATATTCTTCAAGAAGCTACATTTTTCACATGAACAAAAAGATTCCAACATCTGTACATTGTAATGGGCAACTTGAATCAGATAACTGAGTAATGAAACAAATTCATGCAGGAAGATGAAAGTGGTATACCTTGAGATATACAGGTAGAGGGCAGTCTTTTTTCTCAAATGAAGATGCATCCTCTATGTCAATGTGGGAGCTATTTATTGAGTAAGCTTGAGACATGAACTCTGGGCTCCCTGCAATTTGCAAGGAGCCCAGAGTTGGAGGTGACGAATCTTCAATCTCATCCGGTCTTCCAATTTCCATGGTTCTCAGAGGCAAATAACGCAACTCAAGCCCCCCTTTAATTAATGTGTTGTTGAATCAACCAAACCATAGCAGAAACCTGCCTATAAAGGAAATGCACGAAGGTTAATTGTTAGAACACATCCTTTCTATGGGACAAGTAGAGACACATTAGGTGACTTGTTTCTCAACACATCATTTAGTTATTACACGCCCTTTGCACGCTCAATTCACTTGTATCTCCAGAAAAGTTAAGTCCAAGTTTAGGACTTCATAAATAATCAATCTTTTTGTCAAATTTTCCGTTAAGTAATGATAGTATTTGACTTGCAGAAATTAGGCGCGCGGCTAATATACATAAACAATATCCATCTCCAACAAAGTAGTCAAATATATGGGACGAAGAATAGCTCTTTTAAAAGGACCAAAAAAAGAATGGTATCAGAAGATTCTCAGAGCATAAAGAATGAAGATTCTCAAGCTCAGGCCAGTATGGCGATGGCTTAATATACATAGCTAGGCTTACCCGAAGTTGTTGGCTTGTATTGGGTGGTAGTAGCGAAGGACATATGGGATTGTGTAGAAATGTGATGGTTTCTGGGTTTTCTAACGAAAGCTGATAGGAACTCACTGTATCCATGGCAGACTGGAGGTTCTTGATACAAATGCTCATGACGCACATTATGATAGAAATGCTGATAAATCTAGCATAACTTTCTGTAACACAAGAGGGAAACACGAAGATTACTTTTAAGTTTGACCGAGCTACATATAGATTAACAACATCAGCCGGATCTAAAAGATGGAAAAAGTGATTGTTGGAGGATAAAGCTGCCAGGGCAACATATACATAGATATATGTATATATACTTATATACTTCAGTCAGAGGGGGGCTGGGTCGGTTTCTGTTGTTGAGGCATGAATCGTTCAACCTACATAATCAACAGCCCGCAAGAAAATTGTTATTGTGCTGGTTTTGATTGCAAAAAATCAACAACGATTCCAATCCAAGCAGGGCAGTTTATCATCTCAGGATTATACCAAATATGGCATGTAGGAGGTGGTTTGCACCAAATATAGCATTCCAGTTTATCATCTCAGGATTATCATGTAGGAGGATTATACCAAATATGGCATATATGTCACATCTCCCATTTCAAAACTGCCCAAAAAAAAGAAAGAAAAAAAAAATCTACCAAAACGGAAAGTATTATACAACTCTCTCAGGATGCACCACTAAGAAGCACAAACAAATGTCTCAAATGAGGCACAAATGAAAAAGAAAAAAGGGCTGTGAACAAAGGGAAAAAAAATTGAGATGCAAAGTAAATTGTGGTTTTAGCATTGTGTCCATCAGTTACTGCATTCTGGAAACGTGTCTGTCGAAGTTCAGTAAAACCTGTATAAATTAGTAACATTAGAACCATATGAATTTTATTAATTTAAAGAGATATTAATTAATCGATAAATTAATAATTTATGAATTTATCGAAGGTACTTACAATCCAAAGAAACACTAATTTAATCAACTAAAGTTCTATTTTATTTTATAAAATATGAACTATTCTATTAATATAAAAGGAGGCTAAAAGTTTAGAAAATATAAAGCAATCTATATCTATTTGATTTGCAAGTATAATTTAACTCTATTAATATTTTCCATATATGTACGTAACTGATATCATTTTTTGAGATAAAAAATGATTTAAAAATACTAAACGATAGATGTCTATCTCCATTTTATTAAATGCAGACAATGAATCAGATTAAAAAAGACAGCACCTTGAGCAAGCGAGTAAGAGTTGCCCAAGTTTAACTTTAGCTTTTTAGTTCTGTGACTTCTGTCCAATGTACCCAGCTCTCAGTTCCGATTTTGATTATGTTTACCATTTGGAGTTCGAAATCAGTTGACATAGATGTAAAATTGTTTGTAGATGAATATGACACCTCGGTTTTCTAGGGTGTTTGTATAATACTACTCAGTACTTGTTTTTCCCTTATTTTAGTTACAGAAACCTTCTAAAAACATCTAAAATTTTTAATAAATACATCTTAAGAACACACAACTTTTTTTTTCCCTTCCTTCTGTCACGAGCTGCTTGTTTTCCTACAAGCTAGAGGTGCGATCCGTGTCACTTCTTCCTTGCCCCTTCAACCACCATTGTCGACTGGCACCTCCGCTGGTCCCGGCGCCCTATCTCTCTCTCTCTCTCTATCTTCCTCCCAAGTGGCCATTGTACAATTGGCATCCAAATATACCAGAACAACAAAAATTGAACAATTTGATTCCCATATTCTTGATTAATCCTTGTGGAACAGTGCAATTTCCGGGCGTCTATGTACATAAATAAACTTATGTGATGAGGTATAAGAAACTAATGCTTAACCTTTGACATTCAATTTGCGTCCGTTTTTTGCTGCATTGCAATTTCATTTCTTCTTTTTATCCTTTCTGTGGTCTACACACATTCGACATTAGTCTCCTTATTATGTTTCCAATCTATTGCAAAACGTTCTACTGTTTCCTGGGGGAAAAAACTCAAGAAAGAATTCGCCGATAAACTGCATATTTTCCTCCATGTAAAGATTTAGACTTCTTGAAAGATTCGAAAACAGGAGCAGCCAAACAAACATATTTTTAACTACTAACATTACTATCAGTCAGTACAAGAATTTTTCTTCAAATCGAAAATTGTTGCTAGACTATTTCTCCTATCCAATGCATTACAACGTGCTAAAGATAATTGATACCATCATCCATGAACCAGCAACCGCAGCCATGCTTGGAACCCGGAATGAGAAGCTAGCAGAACTTGAAGTGGGAGCACCTGAAACAATGACGAAACATGTATAAAGTCGAAATCTGATTCTAACCATTTATTGCAGCTTAAAGTTTCTTAAACTGTTTGCTCGTTCCAATGTTTTGTTAACCTTGAAAATTTTTAACAAAAGCACACCCGAGAAAGTACTTTCAGCTTCTGTTCTCCAAAATTTTCACGACCAAAAAAAGGAAAAGGCCCTTTCCAATTTCTGGCAAAAAAATTTTAAAACCCCACTAGAATAAGCCAAATTATATGTCAGTCGGGGAGAAAATTAAGCAGCATACCAAGAATGCAGCCAAGAGGATTAATATGCACCCCACACCTGCCGGGCAATTGTTGAGCCTGAGTTATGTTAATTCCAGCCCTCTCAGCTTGATTAGCTCCCCTGATGCTGATCATACTACACAGGCATTCCGGCTCTGATCTGATTACAACTTTTAGGGGGTCGCAACAACTGCTAGGTGGATCCCTGTTCCCATTCAGGTAGTCCATGCAAGGCTGAAGTCGTTGTATGCAAGATTGGTCTTGAGCACGGATTTCCTCCACCCTCGAGGAGAAAGACAAGATGAACACCAAGGCTATACTGCAGTACCTGGGCACGAGTTTCATTTTTCCTATTCAATGGACGATGATAGTTAATTTGATAGCTGTTGTAGGTGGTATGCTTATATATTGACGCTGGAAGAAATGTTACAGTACGGGTTGGTGATCAAACTCCGGTTCGAAATTTGACTCTGATGTCATATTAGCTTTAGAGGAAAGTTCAAAGGCGCAGAGACAGATAAATAGGTTGAGCTACTTCTGAAACAAACTAGCAAATCTAACCCGTAAAAGAAAGGAATGAAATTTAATTAATCAAGCAATAGCAGCATCTCAGCAGATTGATGGATGCAATCCAATCTTACTTGTCCTCTTTCGTACGCTTGCACAGGATGATTCAATAATGGTCATATTATTTACTTTAACAGATTATCGTTTGTTTTCCAATTTCGCCTACACACCGAGGAAGCATCATCAGACATGCGTCTCCATCCTTTAAATGTCCAGAAATATCATGCCAACTTTTCAAATTGGTACTATTTTTCCCCCCTACTTGGCCAGAAAAAGAGCATCAGCCCAGGCCCCAGGTAAACACCTAAATTTCACATGCTGCTTCACAAGCATGCCGCAGTTGAATTTGTTATCATGTGAAGCACCAGAGTAGAAGCTCAAAGACTTTTCACTTGCGCTCGAGGCAGGGGATGCAAGCATATCAAACATGCAACAATTGCTTTATTTGTAAAATGCAGTTATTCCAGCAGGAACAAGAATCTGATGATGACGACGGAAGAAATTGACAACCCCATCCGTGTTGCACTGAAACATAGACCCAAACACTTTTGTAACAATAAAACACCGAGCCATAAAAATGAAAACTTTTCCTTCACTTTCAATTATATGAAAGCAAAGTTTAACAACCTAAAGCTATATATGCCAATTCTCATCATAAAAAAAATCCAGCATTCATTAACTCCATTAATTGAATTGGTCAGCGCATGATAAGAAAAGGGGTATTATCCATTTCACCTCCATAACAACACAAAACACCACAGAAAATAGGAGGTATCTTCCCAATGAAGACACCGCGATCTGCTGCACTGCAAACAGAATCTTCAAATTCTTCTAAGATAAATATTTTTAAGGTATCAGATACACAAGCTATTCTTCAAAGGTAAATATCCAGTTTCTATTTGAAAGTTATACTACCAAAGAACCATTGACAATCAAATACACCATGAAAAATGTTTCTTCTACGCCAGCTTAAAGTATTGATCTTCATCATATTAGGTCTTTCAGAGAGCAATTGGTGTTGCAATCTCTTATCAATGCCACTGAGAAAAATAATTAAGAATTGCCAGCAGTTGCAGAGAACAAAATGACTCTGAAATCGAACTTTAGTTGAAAAGGTCTGAGTTTAGCCAGTCCCTGCAATAGAAAGGGAAATAGTAAATTCAGCTAACACGCTCAAAACTTTAGAGACAGCTTTAATATTTGATATTTCTATTTGGTTTAAAAGAAGACAATAGAGACAGTTATTACTTGCTAATATCATCAAGGTGGTCATCGAAATCTGTGATATCCTTCCATTTCTTAGATGATATAAAATCCAAAAGGATCACATTGGCTGAAGGCTCCTTGACAGTCAGCCTATCTGATCCAACTAGCTTCCAACTCCTAGATGTATCCTTTGTGTAAAGCTGAGAAGGCAAAGAAGACAAGTAGAGCGGACAACTAAATAAGTTAATCTTACGAATCTCGAATAATGTTAAGCTCACAGAATGGGGAAAATCACATTATAATCATCCAGCTCTATAAGATGCCATTTTCCACAAATGGACAACCAATATGTTATAAACAACATGGATAACTAAAAATATTGTTTATAAGGAATAAGAAGGTCATCACCAAAAGAGGAAAATATATATCTGCATTGCTGTATGATGAAGATTGGAACAGGTTCCACCTCAAAACACCCAATGAAAATAGAGGACAAAAGATTCAAGCTTAGTATGCACATAGCTAAAGTAGCATTGCAACAGTATGCCGGGTCTCCCTTGATGGTAAAGAATTTAATGCATGATTAATTCATTATAAGCTCATGAAATGACCAGTAAAATCAAAACATGTATAACCTTCTGTGAAGGCGATCTTAGTAAAATAGTTTGGTCCAAAAAAATTAAGAAAATCATGTAAATATCAGTAAAGATGAACAGAACATCAAGCCATCAGGAGAAATTCGTGTTTTATTCGACATCAAAGAAAGGAATACAAGAAAGGAGATGAAGTCAAGCTAATTATAGCTTCTAAAATTCACAAAAACCACAAAAGGTCAAGCCATCCATTAAAAACATCAGAGTTTCTAATTTCTCATACAGTAACCAGTTTCATGACATATTACATGTATGGAGAATAAAAAAGGATTTGTAGGAGCTAGTTGTTTATGTGCAAGGAGTGACTGAAAATTGTTTTTCATGCATAATCAATTGGAGCAATCACAGTTATTTGTCTAATATAACACAATAAAGCAGAGCATAGATGCTTTCTTCAGGAAATCGTCATCAATTCTAGCAAAGGAAGCTTCTTTTGCCATTCCGTCAATTTCAAGTTAACAACCAACTAAAAACCTCAGTTCCAACTAAAAATAGTGGCCCTAGCCATGCAGAGAGAAGTGCCAAGCTTTTGCTGCCTGTTCAGCCTAGAACTGCAAGCAATGCAGCACCTCATAGTACTAAGTAAGCATTTGCATCATAAGTTCTTCCATTGCCTCTGCTAAAATGAGCTTCAGTGCTTTAGGAGTTTGAATTGAAGTCACCTATGCAAAAGCTTACTGGCATAACGATGATTGTTCACAGTTCTTCAGTTACCCCTGTTTATGGACCCAGAAGTGTATCTAATGGGGGCTCAAGCAATGAACATATTCCCCGAGCATCTGCAGATAATATTATGGACCTCGGTCGGGGTACTTCTGTTGCTGATGTCAATAAATTGATAAAAAGGCCAGCTCTGCCAGCTCTTGCTGTGAAGCAGCTTTCAAATTTAAATCCTGGCCCCACTCCTACCTCTACACCGACTACTGCCTCCAATAGTTCATCAGGTGCAAGATTTGACGGAAGAAATTTGGAATCTAGATCCAGTCATTTACTAACTTCCATGAATTCAGCTCCTGTCTCAGGTGTCTATTCATCTGCTTCAGATCCAGTGCTACTACCATCTCTCAACCCCCGAAACCCAGGAGCAGTGGGCACCATAAAACGTGAGACAGGAAATCAGCGATGTGCTGTTGAGATTATTGGTTCTTCATCAGAAAGCAGGTTGACTGCCGGTCAAGATGTCAGAAACCGCAGTCAAGCTGGTACTGAAACCAACAACAGAGCATCCCAAGAAGTTGAGAAGAGTCAGTATCCTGAACCTTCAAGGACATCATCTTTGTTGAACCATGACAAGTCATCCACTGTGAATAACAAGCAGGATGGTTGGCCCACCCAACAAGTTAATGGTCCTTCAAAAGGTACATCTACAGTTTTTAAGTCCTAGGCTTCCTATTTTGTCTTAGAGATGATGTAGTTTTTTTTTTCCCAAAAAAATTCTGGAGAGATTTGTTATCACTTGAAGATGAGAATGCCTTACTTGCCTGCAATTACATCAATATCCTGTTATTTTAGGTCTCTTCATTCATGGGTTTCATTAGCAAAACAATAAAATTTTCTTTTGTTATGTTCCTTTTTTTTGGTGGGAGGAGGGTGTTCCAAGGAGATGGATCTTGTATCGTTTGTGGATATTAATGTTTTGTTAGTCCTGCAACATGTAATCATTACAATTACAATGCTCCACCATCTTGTAGAAGCAAGAAAGAACATTATTTGCTCTATGTTAGGGTATCCAATAAAGTTGTTCTTTTACCTTGCAAATAATGATAATGCATCATAATCTCTGAACAAAACTATGCCTTCTGATGTCAGTCATCTGGGTTTTCCTTTCATTATGTGTCTCCTTAATTATACAAAGGGATAATAAGAAAAATGTATATCATTTTCAATTTTTTTATTTTATTTTTTGGTGATCTTACTCTTCTCCTGATTTTGGCCCAGTGATGAAATCTCAGGGTGTAACTGTAGCACTTGGAGCCAATATGCAATCACTTCCTGAGCTGAATAGCTCTGTTTTGGAGCAAGCAACACCGCAGCTGGAGATGAAGTTAGAGAAACTAAATATCTCCAACCGTCAACCAGTTATTTTTCCTGATCATATTCAAGTGCCTGAAGCTTTTCGGAATGGGCTGACATTTGGTAGTCTGGATGATGCTTCAGGACTGAGCAAAAATGGAATCAAGGACTCCAAGTGTGTGGAACGAACTGTACTGATGAACCATGATGCTGCTAGGGAACCACCTATTCGGTAAGGCAACATAATTTTCTTCTTTCAGCTTTTAGATCCTTTTTTTTTCTGCTTCTTGTTAAGTTTAAAATTTATGCTGAGAGTGAAATAATGAGACACACTTTTTTTTTAATATAGCTAATATGCATTTTTTAAATCTTTAAGTATCTACAAGAAAAATGGTGACTTTTCAGCCTACTGAAGATAATTTACTTTTTTTTAGCAGTAGATTTTGTTCCCCTTTTTTCAACTTCACTATACCTTATTCTTTTAGTTTTTTGGCTGATAGAGGAACTATGATTTGTTTTTGCTCATCTTTTTTTTTTTTTTTTATCTCTCATTTATTTGGTATGACATTTGTATCCAGTCATCATGTTGCATCCTCGGCTGCCCTTGAGGATGACTGCCCTGGCCATTCACAAACTCATTCAAATGCACCTGAAAACTTATCACCTTTAGAAGTAGATGCCTCATCTGCTGCAGCTGTCAAGTCTGACCACTTGAAGCCAGAGATGCCACCGCTTACAGGAGGATCTCAGTACCCTCATCTGCAGACTGCCTCTGAGTATAGTTTTGGTTTTGTGCCACCAATGCTAGGGCCCCATGTTGTGCAGGTTGAAGCAACTGAGGTAGAGTTTTCTGTTTTCTGAAGGTTGAAAGAAATCATAACCGACTTAAAATATTGCTATAGATGGAAGTTGTTGAGTGCATGTGCTTTTTCATGTTGCACTGAACTATACATGTTATCAGTGTTTGTTGGGCTAGGAGCCTTCTACTTCATGACTTGCTATTCTCTCATATTAATTTCAACACAAAAGAGATTTTTAATGTTTTTGAAAGTTGTCATTCCTTTACTTATTTTGGTTTAGTAAATGATGATGACACTTGCATATACATGTCAACTTACAGGTAGGGAATTCTCCAGTTCCATCAACGTCAGGTTCATCTCAACCTGCAACTCAGCCTTTCGGAGTTGGACAGAATTCTGTTGCTATTTCACCGCAATTGATTCCTTTGCTCCGGCAGCCATATCCGTCTAACTATATTTATAACCCTTATTTCCCTCAGCTTTATTTGTCCCATAGCGCCCACCAATTTCTGGGCCACAGTGGGTTCGCCCAACAAGCTTCAACTGGCAACATATATATGCCACCACCAGCAGCGGCCACAGGGGTTAAATTCCCTGTTCCATCAATGTACAAGCCTGGAGCCATTGCTGGAAATATGGGCCAGTTTGGTATTCCATCCGGATATGGTTCGTACGGGTCTTCTGCTGTTGGTTATGGTCTTGGTGCAGCCATGACGCCTGGTAGTTCTGCTGGTAACGAAGATCTTGCTGCAGCTGAGCTGAAGGAAAAGAACATTTATTCAACGCTTAAGCAGGTTTTTGATATTGTTTAAGCACCTTAACCTCTTTCTTGTTTTACTGCATCATTGGAGGAGTAGTTTTACTTGGTCACTAGACCAGTAAACATATGTTATTTGGTCTTCTTTTCGAATTAGTTGGAGTTTATGTTACGATTATATTTTTCTCATTTGACTTGTAGACATGTATTATTTTGTTTTCTTTTCAAGCATGTAGTTGGAGTTTATTTAGTGATCTAGTATTCTCTCATTTAACATCCATGTCGCAATTTCTTATTGTCATGGTGTTGCAATGAAAAACTTTGATGCCAGCATTGCAGAAGATTCATGATTTGCTGTTATTTTAGAAATTTCAAGCCTCTTGTTTGTATGGTTTTGACAGGCCATATGAATTTTATTGGCGCTTATCAAGACTGTTTATGTGTAAAATCTTAGTTGTTCTGCGCTTGAAACATCTCCCCCTTCCACTTAGAATAGTTCAATTCTTGCTATTGGCCACAATGTTTTGGGTATAACACATAATGTGATGCTTAAGTTACGTAAATACTGAACCTAATGAAGCAAAGCAATCATACTTTGCATTCCTTTCCTTCCCTTCACAATCTCTTTAAAAATCATGTGAATCAAATTGACTTCCTCCGGATTTTGATTATCTGCAACTACCTCTCGGAACTCTTCAATTTACATAAATCTCTACTGTTTTCCTTTGTTTCAAAGGACTCGTGTGTATGCATGGAGTACCATTGCTGGAGTAGCAGAATGATGGTGCACAGCAGAACTTTCTCTCCATTAGATGTAGCTGTTTGATGAGACTAGAGCTAACAACTTCTAATCTGTATGTGCAGAGTGAGGAGCCACATGTCTGGACATCTGCTCCTGGACGAGATATGTCAACTTTGCAAGCAAATATTTTCTACAACTTTCCTCAGGGACAGCACCTTGCTTATTCCCCTGGTCAGGGCCCTTTATCTGGAGTGTATCATTTTGCTCAAACAACGGGGGCGCCAACAACTGTTCAGTCACTTGCCCAACAACCCCAGGCAGTTGCAGGATCAGTTGAATCTGTGGTTGATCCAACAGGCACATATCAACAACCTCACTCAATGATCAATTGGAACACCAAATTTCTGAACAGAGAGAATGTGTGAGGAACAAGGGTGCAAACATGCTATTTGGTGGTGCTATGCTTGTAGGCATGGCTGGAGTGCAATGGATTGGCCTGATCCTAGTGTAAATAGAAACATCTGCCATAAAGTTACAGGTCTGGAGGGGGAAGTATATAAGGACGATTTGCCTTGTTATACAAGAGTGTAGGGCTTTTTGTGACACTTTGCAGGTGTCAGCTTTACTTTTCTTTTGCCCTTTTGGTTTTTAGATGTACTTGCGGCCTCATCAAATTGATCTATGCAGTATACTGACAGCTTCTTCGAGAAATATATATATATATATATATATTTATATCCATTAGACATTTGCGGGTCAGAGGAATATGGTAGACTAGATTAGGACAGGTGGGATAGTTTGGTAATTCCATATCCCCTGTATTTCACCTGTACATGAAATTTTGATAGCTAATTGATATGATATACTGTATAATTTGCCGCTTAGATGAATGGCAACCATGTATTATGTATTATCTGATAATTTGACTTTATTATTTTTTCAATTTGTTTACGGAGCAAGTTTTTTTTTTTTTTTTTTTCTTCTGACACCAGTGTATTACTGGATGCAGATTGCAACAGAGAAGACAGTTTGGGAGCAAACAAACAAAAAGAAAAATTAAAATACATTGAAAGTTAGCTAACCAAACACCAATGGGTGGTTGTTAATTCGCACATAACCCCGAAAGAAAGTGTCGATTAATTGATTTATGCTCTCAAAGTGGGAACAAGGCAACTGATAAAATGCACGAGATATTTAGTATTTGAGCGGTCAAAGTTCTATTATAAAAATAGTAGCTTCTCATAATCATCCTAGTCACACTGGTACATGAATCGACTAGTGTATTGATTCCTTAAAAAAAAAAAAAAAAAAGGAATCGACTAGTGTATTGATTAATGTGGAAACGGAGAGAGAGCCAATAGGGTATATAAGTTCTATGAAAAATAGAGCCGCACAGATTTAAAGATCAGAAGGGGCGGCGCATATCTGCTGCAAGCAAAAGCAAGCACCTCTGTTTAAGAACCTAGTAATGCATATATTAGAAGTGATGCAAGTGCAATCAGGTTCGTCGTGTCTTCATCTGCGTAAAACTTTGATTACCTCTCTGTACATGGCTACATTGTCCAGTTTTTTAGCTCATAGCAATCGCACTCTTTTAAGTTGCATGGACTGCTTAGGAAAAAAAAAAAAAAGTTGCATGGACTGTGGATGGTAACATTGCCTCAGCAAAATGAACTGGATATCATACGGTAGTTTCACTGAATCTCTTTCGAGGGCAGAACCAAAAGCTATTCTGTTTAGATAATTCTCGTTCAGACAGAATTGGAGCCGGAGGTAGTGCCTGCATTTGCCTCATTCATGTCTTCCTCAACTGTTTTGGGTTTTTGAGAAGGAAGATTTTGCTTTTGAAGTAAACTACCCTCTTTCTCATGTGATTCCCTTAGATTAAGCAAGGTGTAGACTGACATTCCAGCAAGAGCAGCTACGGCACCACAAAGACTAAGTGGCCCTGGATCCGAACCGAATACTACGTACCCTGCTAAAAGAATGACACAAGTTTTGAATTGCCCTAAAACGACATGTGAGGTTGCAGAAGTCGCACTGCATGGTTAGGGCAAAAAGAAAAAATGGTTCAGAGTCCTATCCTTGAAAGCATAAATATTTTAGATCTGTGGACTCCTGCACGGACACATAAAATGACTAGTCTAAAGTCTTCTATTTAAAGAGTTTCGTACCCAAGTGCCAAAGCTCCAGAAAGTTGCAGGAGAAAGCCAAGCAAAGCCGATATAAGAATGGCAGTCGCGTTATGGACATTCCATTTGAAGGACAAAACTCCAGGCGGATCCAACCATGGCATAAGAGTTAGTAAGAAGAGCACTGTGACCGGGGTGGTCTTCCACATTAACCTACATGTGATTTTTGTCTCCTTAAAGTCCATTGGTGACTATTTTGATGTCTCATTTCTACAAACAAACAAACAAAAAAAAAAGGGACAAACTTACGCTAGAGCAGTCCAGTTGCCTTGCTGCTGGAGGTTAGACCAGAGGATCTTATTTATAGCACTTGGAACAATCCAAGCTATTGCAACAACAGCGCCAAACAAATTGAATTCCACGTCCGTTACAGTTGCAACTGCTACACCTACTGAGACAAGAACTAGAGCGAGAACCTGCATCAATATGTGAACTCAATATTAGTGGTGGTTTCCAAATTTCAGAGACACAATTGACATAATAGACATAAAAAGTTTCTGTTGAAGCAAGACTAATTTTTAGATCACCTTCTTAAAAGATATTGCTTTTCTGAAAAGAATGAACTCCGCTATCACAATAGTTGGAGTGACGGCAATTTTAGCCATCTGATAAAATCCAACACTGTGCATGAGCTGAACTTAATCAGGGAACAAGACATTGTTGTCGCTTGCAAGTGGCGACAAGTAAGAATAGAACTGTAAGTAGGAGAAAGAGACTCAGATAAGAACCTGTTATGCTTTAGGCTAATATTGGCAAGGCCAGAAGCAAAAGCCATGACTGCACCCAAAGAGAAAAGTGAAGAGAATGGAGTAGATCGAGAAGGAGGAGAAACCGGAAGCAAGGAAAGTGCCTTGAAAATGGCTAGTAAAATCCAGGCAGTAGAGTAGTGAATCAAAGTAAGGAATATTGGGTAGTTAAATCCAACTCTGCCCATAACCTGTGACCAGACGATCAAGACCAAATAATCAGCCTAATATAGCACATTGATACAATACAAAAAACTTGCATATTTGTAACGTCTCAATCTCGTTTCAATGTTCTTCTCTAAGTTGCTACAATTGCAAACAAAAAAATACTACGAGAGGGAAAGAGAAGGAAAAACAGACTAATTTGTTCCCCAGAATTATCGACACAGCAACCGTAAAGTTGAAGGTCATTGCTGCACTAGGTCCACAGTATCGTTCCTGTTGACGTTTGGCGCCCTCTGAAGTCCGAAACTCGTTGTAGAGGGAACTTCTGAGTTCTTCCAATGCACGGCCTGGTATCAAGAGAAAGACAAAACTGATGGATGTCAAGAATAAAGATAATCAAGTTACTACAACTCGCTTTAAGTGGATTTTAATTCTCAACTCTTGGACTCGAGATCCAGGTCTTAGTCTTAATCAGTTTCATGAGACTGAAGCTGTGAATGTGATGATATCAAGATGAAGTTTCAGAAAAGAGCAAGGCAAAGTAGCAATTTGTGAAGTGCCACACTTAACATTGATACAAGAAATACAAACAGAAATCTAAGGTGCGAACTTTAGTTTCTATAAGATAACTATGTTGATTAGCATTGAGAGCAGTAGAAGCCATTCTAGAGTGCTTGTATTTTCATGTAAAAGAAAAAAGACGCTTTATACATAGAACATGCTTGGAACAATCCTGCTAAGAAATGAGAATCAACAATACATTTGCAGTATGTCTAACTCAATACTAGAACATGAATTCTCTCCGTCTTTGCCAAGTAATTGCAACTAAAATTGATCAACATTTTTTTCCCACTTAATTTCTACAATGTATTTTGTTATGCAAGTGGAAAAAAAAAAAAAAAAAAACATGCACCCAGAATTCTTGATCGTTGATCGTTGATGCATTTTATAATTTTAAAAGGATTCAAAACCACTCAACTAGAACAGATAAAAAAATAGTGTTATTCTTGATCTGATGTAACTAGGAGAAATAAAGCTAAAAACATGCAGCCAGAATTCTCGTAGAAGCCAATGGGTGAAAATGGTTTCCGGTTGTCGAATGCGCAGAATCTATTAGTATATCGAAGCATTATAATCCAAACGCGTGCTTAAGCTTTTCTCAGAAAACAGCAAATGAAAATTTATTGGAAATAGGAGAAACCTGCTTCGCCTGCATCACTATCCTTTCGTTTGATAAATCTTTTGACGTCATTTCCCGGCGAAGAACCGAAGAAGTCCATATGCACCCGCCAAAATGCATGTGTAAACCTTGAAGCAATATGCCTGTCAAGTAGTATACATATCATTCAACGATAAAGGAATCATAAGAGTATTAGTAATAAATTTGCACGAAAGACAAATTCATACTGTCTGGTGAGATCGTGAATAATGAGATAGATGGTCGAGAACAGAAGTGTTTTGAAGTTGAAAATTTGTTTCAGATTTTTATGAAATGGGTAAATTAGGCCTTTGACTGATGCATTGATTTGTGTTTGCAGATTTTATGATCCAATGGTGAATTTGGATGACCACCAACCACAAACGAGAATCCAATGGTGTCACTACTATTTGATGATTATTACATTACGAGAATAATAAAATTAATGAAAGTACAGCAACTATATATATACATATGGTTATTATCACTGTTAGAGGAACATTCAATCATAACATGCCCTACCCATGATGATGTTCAAGAAGCTGTCAAAACTTCTCAGTGAAAGTACCTAGAATTTCGCGGATCTCACCCTTTTATTTAGTTCAAATTAACAGAGCATCTGATCATTTTCACATCTCCAACCACTTAAACTTGGGATCTTTCATTTAAAATTTATTTTGCCCCGATTTCAATGTTTTCATAGATTTGTAAAAATAAATCCTGCCGCTTACATGATTTTTGCTTGAGAGATGATTGAGAACAAACATACATTTTACTCGTCCTTTTTCTTTCCTTCTTTCTTCTTTGTTTTTTTATTTTTTCGGCAATAATAAGCAGATGGGAAGTTGAATGGAGGACAGATATCGGCACTCGCCGCCGCAAAAGCTACACTATCACTGACTGAAATTACCAGTTTTGCCATTGTGTCATTTGAGAGATAATTTGGTTCATCTTTTTCTTTCAGAGATAATTTGGTTCTTATTTACAGTGACCAATTGGTATTGATATACAAAACACATGATAGAAACGAAAAGAAAATAAACCAAAACAGAAGCCCCATGAAGCTCATCTCTTCTGTGAATAAGAAAATTTCATCTGCCTAAATCTAAGTACCAATCCTCCATACTTGAATGAAGCACCAATATCAAACCATGCATTTATGATGCCCCGCCTATTAAGGCGCCCTTGGGCAGAAGTAGAAATTTGCTCCCACGACTGCACAGAGTTCAAATGCTACAATGAAACCACTGATATCTGTGCTCAACTATTTTGAAGGTTCATCTCAAGCATATCATTTTCCTTCCTGATAGCATCAAGATCAGCTCGTAGCTTGTCAATATTCAGGCTTCTGGAAGCCATGCTTGTGAGCTTTGCTTCATATTCTGCCAATTCCCTGCGAGTTCGATCAGTCGACAAAACTTTTTCAGCTGTCTGTTCAAAGCAATCGTGGATTCTTGTCAGCAATCTATAAGCTTGCCGGGCTACTGTATCTTTTCTTGCTTCCCTGACAGAATGATGTCTTTCATTGAGCATAAATGAAATTTAAGAAAAAATTACTCGCACAATTCTGGACTAAAGGCACAAACTCAACTCCCTATATTATGTCCTACCTGAATATAGTTTCATCCACCACTGCATAAGTTCGATTAAGGCGTTCTTGGATAGAATTGCTCTCCAACTGTAGCTCCCTAGTGTCTCTTAAGATTCGCTCGATGTCAACCTCTTGCTTGCAGCTATTCTTTGTGATCTCCTTAATCCGTAAGACAAAAGATCCTCGTGATGCTACCTTGGGTTGTTTTTCTAGTTCCATGGAAAGTACAGAAAGTTCGTCCTCCCTTAACCACCAATTAAAAAAAGAAAAGGTATCTTGATGAGACGGGTGATTCATGGTGCAATCAGTAAATAGAAAGAGCCATCTACTCAACATCTTTATTTGCAGCTCTATGCTATCAATCTATAAGAATTAATTCCATCATCTGAACCCAAGATATCGTTGGTGACAAAACCTAACTTTAGGAATCCATCATGTTTAATGCACAGGTTTGATATTGATCTAGTTCAGGCGAAAATTGTTAGATATCAAACAATCATACTAAAACAAGAAGCTAAGATCAGCTGGCTTTGTCCTTGTTGATTTCCCAATGACTTGGTTAGGAATAGCTCATCATCTTGTCATTAGCCTAAGCCTAGATGTTTGAAACTGAATTAGCACCAAGTAACAAAAAGATCATGCTGACAAGAAAAAGCAAATGCCTGCAGCTGAGTTAGGAGTAAACATATAAACTTAAATTTGAGTGCAGAAGTGGAGGGTAGATTTTTCCCCTCAGAGACGGCATCTCGGAATTTGGCATAAAACAGCAACGAGATTTCACTCAGATGTGTCTCCTAATTAACAGGCAATGCACTTGAGCATCAGAGAGTTACCTGCTTTTCATTTCTGCTGAAATGGACACAATTTCTCTCCCGATCTCTTTCTTTTTTTGAAGCTTTTCATGGGCATCTGGTTTTGTCAAACAGACAGCCTCCACAAGATTAGTCCTTGTCTCTTCTATAGAACTTCTCAGGGCACCCCTGAAGTAATACAGACTTTCTACATCAATAATCAGTTTCATCTGTGTGCCAGTACTTAAGGGAGCACACATATTCAATTTATAGCATTAATATTGACCACTATTACTGCAAAGTCATCCATGAACACATGAAGACGAAACATATGAAACAATAATTTTGATGATGTTTAAAAAGCAAAGAGTATCCCACCACTGAAACTCAAGTTTCACAAGCTTGTCCTTTCTTGCCTCTATTTGGTCTATGAGCTGTTGGACACAAAATTGAACTGGAATCTGGCATTGTAATGCTTCTGCAGCCTTCAGCAACTCACGCTCATCTTGCATCTGTTGTAATTTTGAAGTCTTGGCAATCCAATCCAAGAGCATTCTTTTCTGAAAAAGTATGCATTTAATCTTAGACACGATGAGAAAAATAGCAAGATAAATGCAAAAAGAACCATCTTTCCCGTGATAAGCTCAGTCAGAAAACTTCATTCCCAATTTTGGAACCTTATCATTGAGATTATACCTCTAATACAGTTATAATACCAGCTATAAGCAAATGGAAAATCAACCAGTATAAAGACAAGTTCACCTCAGTTGAAAGCTCCTCAAGAGAATTCACCCCAGGCTTCTCAAAATGTTCATGGAACCCAAGAGCAATAGTTTGCTCATCTCCACAGGCATTTGATTCTGCAACATGAATCTTATGCACTGAAGATTCTCCGGCTCCCCTAGTCATCCATCCTTCTTCATTTGAGGCTCTTGTGTCAGCTCTCCATTTTCCAACTGCACCATCCTCATCGGTTACCGAATTTCCACAGACTAAATTAGATTCGTTGGACTCTCCACGCAACGTATCTCCAGAATTGAAATTTCCGGACTCATTACTAGCTTTTTGCACATCAGAAGATTCAGCTAGCCTGCCCACTAAGAACCTCACCAACTTATACAAATCCTCTACAGAAGGATAAAGAAACTGCCTAACAAAACACACACATCATATGTCAGACAATCATGCCACATGATATCAATATTTAGCCAAAATACTGAGAGAAGTCTCAATTGAGAGTAAACACAAGTGTCTGTTTGATTTTTATGCGCGTAGTTATTTCCCAAAAGAAGTAAATAAGGAATAAAGACTCTTCCTTTATGGACCCAGAGAAAGAAAAAAAGAAAAAGAAAAGTAATCCTTAGTTTCCATTTTGTACCACCATTCCATTCTCAAAGTTGTAAACAGCACTTTCTGCAATTTTTCACTTGCAATAAAAAAAAAAGGGAAAATGAGAAAAAAAAAAAAAAAAAGAAAGAGGGAAAAGAAACAGCTTCAATAATCGAAAATTCTTCTAAACACCAACCCAAAAAAAAATCCATAAAATTGGAGAAGCAAAAACTAAGGTACCTCGTGGAAGTTAATATCATCGATAAAACCTAGGTTTTTGAATGCAGAGGCGAGGTCGGAGCAGATATTGAAGCGGTCGGCCATGGAGTCCTCCGGCAAACATGTAGGAAACGACAGGGTTTTATCAATGAGGCAGAGCGATCGAGAGCAGATGAAGAAAAGCGTTGCTGGCGTGAGGTCTTCAATCGCCGATACTCCGGGTGGAATCGGAACCCCCGAGCTACGCAGCGAGTTAAGAAGAATCCCTTGCGAATCATCATCCTCCATTGTTTTACTTCTGCAGCTGCTGAGAACGCGAGGGAGATGCCCTTGGTTCCGGAAGTATTCAATGTATGAGCGTTTTGGGAAGAGAGTTAAATTAAATTTCATTTTTGACCCTATATAAAATTTATTACTATTAAATAGTAAACGAATTATACACTCATTGTGTGTGGATTAGTGAATCTTAATGAACTGAAACGCAACATTAATAAATTTTTTGTTTTGTGTCACAGCAATGTAACTATTTCTGGACTAATATCACAGTAGTAACAACAAAATTTTATATCCAAATTCAAATTAACTATCACGCATTCAACAGTAATAACATATATATTACTAATTTATTAAATATATAAAAAATTAATATAAACTATATATCCTTCTATTATATTTGTAGAAAAATGCACCTTAGTTATGAAATCTTTAACTCGTATGAAATTGGAGTTGCTTAAAATTTATTCCCCCTAACATGTATCTTGATTCTCAATTTTTGCCTCAATCTTTTTTTTTTCCGGTCACTTACCACCTCAGATGACCAAACTGCCCTCTATTATATTCATTTTTTTTCTTTTTTGTTAAAAGTCTCATTCCTAAGCAAATAAAAAAATTTCTCTATGCGTTAGTTTCCTGTTTTAAAATTTTTATTCACTCAAATTTTAGTGGAATTTATGTTCTATTATTTTTTGCATATACGTTTTTTTTGTATTAATTTGTGTCTCTTTTGTTTGACATCATTCATAGATATTTTTTTGAGTTCCTCATCAAATTGGAGTCATTGGGTTTCACCAGAAATGGTAATTGTTGATCAGAACATTAAAAAAAAAAAACACAAATTTATGTACATTCTAATTCTTGATAAGTAGCTTTGGCCTAGAAAATTATACTACCGCCTATCCTCACTGTTTCTTCCTTGAATTGTACAGTCTGACCATAATCACTGATACCTCAAAAAAACAGGACAACCTTCAACTTTCACACCAGGTTCGGTTGGACATGTAGCCAAGGGACAATAGTCGTCGGTTTGAAGACCCCACCATTGTGGACCTGCAATCCCGTTGGCCTGAAGAGTGAAGTAAAGGAGTATTGCCATGAATGCAACCCCAGCATTGAGCGCAGCTGCCATGATGTAAGCGTACTTAGCCCACCATCCCTTGAACCTTCTGTAGATGTA